GGAGCGTAGGAAGAAACGCCCAGGCCACTCGAGAAGGACACCCTTCCTGTTCTCAAGACCTTTGCATCTGTCCCACAGCCTCCCCAAGGGTATGTTTCCGTGCCCAGCTCACTTCTCAAGGTGCCTGGCTGCAGGGCTATGAAAACACTACTATTGGCTCCAGGATGGGCACTGAGAGCTGCCAATGGCAGCAACCAGCTGTGGGAAAAGCCTGGCTCAACACTCCAGACCTCATGGACACGTTTAACGGGAGTCCAGGCATAAACCAGAGTAGGCCAGGCTCTGTCAGCACCCTAATTTAAGCAGTAAGGGACACAAGATGACAATTAAATATGGTGATGTCACAGTCCACTGCAAGTGACATCAGCCTCCACCACCTTGTGACATCACAATAGGATGTCCACCCTTACGGTACTCAGACCAGCACAGGTTGTCCTCCACAGAGGTCCCAGTATCACCCAGAGAGGTCCCCAGCCCCTGGACTTTCCCCAGCACTGCAAGAGGCCATCACATCAGGGTCATTATGACAGTACCTCTTCATGTAGGATGAAGCCAGGGCCCTGGAAGAGGTTCTGAAAAAGTACCCCAGTGATGCTTATAGAGGAGTCACAAGAGGAAGATTGGCTCTCTACAATTTCTGCTTAATAGCAAAGGGGCTTTGATCCTAGCAGTTAAAGTCTCTGGTGGTAGGAGCGTGACTGCCAGGGTGGCCTCTGAATGGTCATACAGAGTTCCTTTCCTTAATGGAATTAGAGTTCAGTTTAACCAGAAAGGGGAGTGAGGGGGAAAGGACCTATGCATTAAGGTAAAAATGTGGATTATAAAAGGAGAGACGGAAGAAATGGAAACAAAGAGCAAATTATGGATAGAAAGAGTATGTAATACCAGATGCATAGTTCCCATGAACAATAAAAGCAGATTTCAAATAAATGAATAAACAGCAAAACCAAACCAAAGTCAAACCTAAATCAAAGCCAATCAACAAAAATAAAAAAAAACTCAGAGCACAGGAAAAATATTACACAGTATTTTTTAAAACTTTGGAAACAGTTCTTAGACACATTCAGTTTGTATATTGGGTGATCCTTTTGTTGAAGAGGAGGCAAAAATGACTAAAAGCAGTTGAAGAAGGAAAAGTCATAACATTTAGCACCTCATCTTTTTGTTTCTGATGTTTCTTCAAAATAAATTCACAGATAACTTTGAACACAGGCAATGTTAGTGTATGGGATACACTGGAAAAGTTGTAGTTTGCAACTTATTTTAGCAAGCAGCGACCATCACTAAAGAGGCAGTCCCTGTGTGCTGTGTCCTCCTGGCCATTGACCCTGTGCCGGCTGATCAGGTGGGCTGCTGTGATCCTCTGAGGTCACTCTGCTAGAGACATCTGAGCTGTATACAGGTGTGAATCAGTCCACAAGCCCTGGATGGTGAGAATGTGTTCCCAGAGGAGGGAAGTGAGCTCACATGGCCAGCATCACAGAGGCACGATGCAGAATGGGAGCAAGTGTACAGTTCAGAAGGTCTCACTATCCCCCAGGGAAAGCAAAATGCAGGAAAATAGGGAGAGAGTAACACACTCCAAAGCCCAGCTATGCAGTGATGCCAACTGACCTCATGCTCCCTGCTAGCCCTCTAAGAAACAGCATCTTGGAGTGCAAAGGCTGTCATGCTTAGCCCAAACTCCAGTACCAATGTTCCACTTGAGAAGCTCACATTCATGCTGGAGCAGATCATGTATTTTTCACTGGTGCTCTTTCTGATAGAAAATGTAGTTTTCTCATAAATCACACAGAATCATCAAGGTTGGAAGAGACCATAAAGATCATCTAGCTCAACTGTCAATGTAGCATCATTATAATCACCCCTAAACCATATCCCTAAGTGCCACATCCAGAAGGGGTGGGAGAGAGGAATGAGAGTCAACCTGTTTTGAGTCTAAACAGTGGGCTGCTTGTCAAATTTAAGGCGACTATACAGGAGTTCCCTGACTTGTGATCTGGTGACTTTGTTCAGCCTGATGAGAATTTATAGTGAACATCATGGCCCCTACTCATGGTTTGGGAAACATGCCCCTCCCTCCATCCACTTAATTAAAAAAAATACACAAAGGAAAATTAAAAAAGAAAAACTTTGTTGTACAGCTGTTTCCCTGTGCTATGTGAAGTTTTCCTCCCTCTCTCAGCCTTCCTTTTCTAGGAGAAATGGATGATGCATGTGGCACAGTCTATTCCAGGAGAGCCACAGTGGCTAAAAACTTTCCATGTCCTGGATCAGTGACTTCCAGGACCAGCTCCTGAGCCCACTGGCACTGAGGCTCCTGATGGCTGTATTTCATGAAGGTAATTCAGATTGGCTGCTGCTTGCTGCACAAGCCCATCAGCACAGACAGTCACAGTGGGCTGTGTTTGAGCAGCTACTCCCCTGGGCTTGTGTCTGCATCCCTGCTTTTCTGTTCTCCCTTTAGGGGCTTGGTCAGTAATACAGATTGTTTTCCCTGGATGTGACTATGGTGGCTGAAGACACTTGTGGACCCCAGTCCCAGGCTGTGACAACCTTTTTTCTGCTCTTACCTATGGATCTGTCTGTGGGTGCTGGTGACTCCTCCATGCCAGCCACCTCCTTCCCAAAGATCTCATCAAAGTTTTCCGTCATGAACTTCTCCAGCACTGTCATCTGCACGCGTCAAAGTCTTGGTCTCAGCCCAGGTGCCTGAAAAGATGTCAAGGATGACTCTGGAACCTTGCCTCTGCATAGAAGGAGGTGGCTGTGGGGCAGCTCTTCCAGGCAGCTACTCCACCAGCATTTGCTGGAGTGAGGGGAATGCCAAGGCCCTCTGGGCATCCAACTCAGATAGGCTGGAGAGGCTGCACCTGGCTGCTCAAAGCAGCTTTACCTTCTCGGTCACTACCAGCATGGCCTCAAGCGGGAGCAGCTCCCCTTTGGCTGGGCTCAGCAAGTTTGGCCCCAGGCAGATGGCCAGGCTGCTGGAGGTCATTCTGCTTGTGGACACATGCTGGCCAATACGTTGGAGCACTGCAAGCAGCTGCTTGAGGAGGAGGAGGTTTTATGCAGGCAACTTCTTGTCCACCCTGAAGGAACAGCAAGGCAGTGTTCATTGAGCAACTGTTGCACACAGCTGCCCTCAAAGCTGGCACAAGGGAAGGGACAGCCAGCAGCTGTGTTGTGCAGTTTTCCAGGTGCTCTCAAGCCAGCAGTCAGGGCTCCTGTGCTTGAGGAAGGAAGCATGTCATTGCCTCCGGGCTCCTGATATCACACAAGCCCACACAAAGGAAGGCTCCCAGTTCATTCCCCCCAAAATCTGACCCCAACCCTTCAACAGCAAGCATTTATAAACTCAGGATAGAGCCAGACAAGAATCCTTAAAACCCTAGACAAAAGGGGAAAGAAATAATTTTTCTTGGTTTTGCTTCTTCAAAGTTACTGTCCTTTGCCAGCAACAACTAAGAGTAAGCCCATCAAATGCTTCCACCAGCATGTGGCCTACAATTACTTACACCCTGAGAGCCCCGTGATGGGTGCTAGCAAATGTAACAAGGGTAGGACAACCACCAGCAGCTGGCCTAGAATTAGCACTGATGTCTCCCTGCTTGTTCAATCTGATTTCACAGTTACTGCAAGAGGACAAGTAACCCTGAACATCATCTAAGTTTCCTTGTCCGTGTTCCCTGTGATTCAATGATGTCAGACCTCCCTCTCATGGCGTAGTTATCCCAAAGTCCCTAAATTTTCCCCATGTTGTTCTTCAAGTCCTTCTTATTCTGTGCACAAAATACAGTACCTACACTTTCCAGCAAAAGCATTAGATTTTGGCTGTAAAAACACTTCACCCAATGTGTTCTTTATGGAGATACACTGAGTTCAGCTTTGAAACAGCTCTGCTTTCCAATCACCAAGAGAAAATAAAAATGTTGATACTGAAAATTAAGGAAATATGAAACCCTACAAAGTTTGCTTAGACTCTTGATTCAAAAATATTGGAATGATGTCTCAGGTGAAATTCCAGTCCTTTATATATCTCCAATGCAGTGGTAGCACAGGATCCAGGAGATGCTGCCATTGTCAGAAAAGTTCTGCCCAGACCTCAGGCAGGAGGACACCCATGGTCTCTATCCACTGTGGAAAAGATGGAGGGGACACCACAGGGTGATGATGGAGACTATTCTCACCCAGGCAGAAGAGAGTTCTCCCTGCCTGGCTGCTGGTGTCTGGCAGCTCTCTGGGGAAGTTGATGGCAAAGTGTGCATAGACCTGTTTACCCCGCTCAGGAAACCTGGCAGTCTCTACTGGTCTTCTGTAGAGTGGGCACACTGGTTTCACCACACCAGCTGAAAGCATTTGGTTGTGCTTCGCTTTCTTTGTAACTGAGGGACTGAAAAAAGACCACAGAAATTTCCCCCACCAATAGAAAATATGTAGAATAGTATTATAAAGTCTATCTGACAATATTCATGTTTGGTTTCATATATGACTTTATTAAATCTGTGTTTCAGAATGAATGTTGTCTAGCAGGCTTTCAGTTCAGTTACAGCAATTGCTTCTCAGCAGGCTAATTTTCCCGTAAGACTAGATAAGGAAAGTAATCACTTAGGAAAATGAGTTTTCCACATACATGTGCAGTACTCTTATGGCTGGTTTCATTGTGAGAAGGTCTGGAATGGCTCCATCTTTGTTAAGTGAGCCCTTGATCTTTCTTGACAAGAAATTCCAGCAAGAACTGAAGCTCACAAGATTTTCCAAAACTTCATTGTGCAGCAAAGAACCAGTAAAGCAGAGCCAGTTCCCTTCGAGAACTTTAGGTCATCAGAGGCTGACAGATGGCTAAACTGAGACTCTGGGACACTCAACTTCTGAAACACCTCTCCAAAATATTACATACTTCTGGCATGAACAGCTCCAGGGTAGATCCACACTGTGGATGGATTCCTCAAAATTAAGATCAGGTGTCGGGGGGACTCTGAGGTCTGACTCCATCATGATCAGAAGTCACACTTTGAAACATAGCTCCCATCTGTTTCAAAATAAAAAAACCACAATCATCCACAGACGTGCAGTTCACAGAGCAGGAGAAGGGGAGGAAATATAACAAGATGATCAGCCACTGTATTAGAGTGGGTATGAGGCACATTGTCACTTGTTACCAATACAAGAATATACTATTATATAGTAAGATATAAATACTATATTATAATAGATTAATGATATTTATTAAATAATCAAATAAATATATGTTAAAGTAATTATATTATATTAATTAATTAAAATATAGTGATAATATAATTATAATTTATAATTACAAATTATAAATTTATGATTATATAATTTATTTATACAAATTATATGTAATAAAACTTACAGCTAAAATGACAAATAAATATTTAATTTATTTAACTAATTAATTAGAATACTTATTAATTTTATATATTAAAATATTTAAATATACTATTTGAAGTGGATTCTGTCCAAGCACACAGTCTCTGCTACTTCTAATTAGTAATTAAAGTTGCAAGAACTGAGGACTGTATCCAAACCCTATTTTCTCCATATGATTTTTTGATTCTTGGTCCAAACTATCTTTTAACAAGCTAGATTCTATCTGGGACTAAATTTTCAAGCGGTCATGCGTTTCAGTATATCAAGCTCTCCCGGTTATTGAGAGACTTGGACAGTTATACATTTACTCAGACCCCTGGTGCTGAGGCACTCCCCCAGCGGGGACCTCACCAGGCACCTTCTGGAAGCCAGACCTGGGAAGGTGAGACAGCTTCCTGACGGTGCCATGGACATTGGTCCTGAGTTTCACCACTTCATCTGAAGTGACAACAGAGGTCCCTCAGGTCTGCAGTCCCTCAGGCAGGTCCCTCCCTGCCTTGGCCTCCTGTTAGGATGGAGAGGATCCTGAGGATCCTGGGGGCTGGGGGCCCTCCTCTTTTGGGTACACTAGGACCCTGTGGCCAAGCCAGCCCTGCCCTGGCCAGGATTAGAGGGTTGTGGCTGCAGTCCTGGGAAGAGGGACCTGCCACTTCCTCTGCCTGCTCCTGCTGCTCCTGGGTCTAGTCCTGCTCTGCAGGGACAGGTACAGATGGGGGCAAGCTGTGACTCTCCTGGAGGGTAGCCTCTGATATACCAAGCTTCCTCCTCCACGATAGAGCTTGCTGGGCCACTGGCAGAAATCCCCTCATGAGAGCTGTTGGATCTAAAGCTGGAGCTGCTGGAGCTGGTACTGACCTCAGGCTTACCTGTTTCCTCTCCATCAGTGTGGTAGTGCAGGAGCCTCTGAGCCTCCTTGCTGCACCAGCTCACAATAACATTGATGAGGTCACGAACCAGTGGTGCTGCACGTCCTCTGAGGTGGTTCTGCAGCCTCAGGATCAAGGTCTCCTCATGCAGACCATAGACACAGAGATCAGACAGGATTCTGCTCTCAGCAACCTGTACTGGCAACCACCAGTTGCAGTAAATTTCCTCAAGCCTCTGGCGTAGCCAGGGCAGCACAGGATCCAGAAGATGCTGTTGTCTTTGGAAAAGTTCTGCCCACACCTCGGGCAGGATGCCACCCACGGGCTCTGGCCCTGCAGCCCCCTGCTCAGGTGGGGACACTGTCCCCTGTGGAGAAGATGAAGGGGATGCCACAGGGCATTGGGGGCCACTCTTCCCCACCAAGGGAATCTCTGGTGACTCTCTAGAAGCTCGTCTTTCCTGGCTGTTAACCTGTGGTGACACGCCAGGATGCATGATGACAAACAGTAGAGAGTCCCATCTGCCCTGCTCAGAAAACCTGACAGCATCTATTTGTGTTCTGCAAAGTGGGCATGATGGATTTCTCTGTGCCCACTGTAGGATGCAGCTTAGGCAGAACTGGTGGCGACAGGGCAGAGCAGAAGCCCTGCTCCTCCGAGTGTCCCGGCAGATGGGGCAGCTCCAGTCTGCCTCCATGGCCATTTCTGTGCTCTGCAGCGCACTGGGAAGAGCTGAGGACCAGGAGATGCTCCCTGCCATTGGCATCACACAGAGCAAGAGAGAATTGTGTGACTGTGTGACAGCCCTCCTGACTGTCCCAGGGAGGGGAAAAAGAAATGCCTAGTTCTCTCAAGAAGGACACCCTTCTGGTTCCCTTGAACCCAATCACCTGCCCTACACCAGGGGGGTGTTTTCCCTTTACAGCTACTGCAGTAGCTGACTTTCACTTCTACCTATGGTGCCAGGCTGCCTGAACAAGCAAGACTGGGAAAACACTACTGATGGCTCTGTGATGGGCAGAAAGAGCTGACAAAGGCAGCTCTGACCAGATGCTCCAAACCTTGCACTCTTCCTTCAGCAGGAGTCAAGGCTAGAACCAGATTGGCTCAGATTCTGCCAGAGCCAGATATAATCAGAGACAGATGTGATGTCACAATCCATCCCCTAGTGATGGATCCATGCCCCCATCTGCTGCTTAGAAGGTCACCCTCCACCACTGAGTGATGTCACCATGGAATATTCCCCTCTGCAGGTGCACAGGGCCAGAAATAAAAAAAAGGGAAATACCATTTCTTGTTTTCAGCTTCTTGATTTCCATGGTGCTCTCCCTCAGCCACCTGCATCATGTGGCCTTGATCACCTAGCTAAGGTCTCCTGTGAGCAGGAGCATGGTGGGACCAGTCAGCATGGACTGCCTGTGGACAGATATTACGTCCTCTCCTCATTGCCTTTCTCTGTGCAAAGGTGGGATTTGGAACACCTGGGTGGACAGTGACCAGCTCTGGGTGAGAGTCTCCCACCCCTGTGCATCTTGTTCCAGTTGCAGGGAGAAGCAGAAAGGGGTGTTTTCATTTACTCCTGTCCACTCCCACTGGCACTTGCCCACAGTGCCAGATCCTTCTCTGCTTGCCAAGTCTCCATGCTTCTGGAAGCCAGTGTGTTGGTGTTCCTCGAAGTACCAGTGATGGAGCCTGACCCCACACCCACAGGAAGTAGCTGGAGTTGCTGCCCTCCTGGAATAGCATTTAAGGGCCACAGGTACCCTGCTCACAATTCCGGAGAACCCAGGATCCACAAGAAAAAGCTGGGTTTGTCTTTTCATCTTCTCACATATCAAGCCTGAATTTCTTTACTGACCTCAAAGGAACCCTAGAAACTCTTATTCTAAGATGGTTCAGATAAAGTGGGCTTGCATGCTTAACTGTGAAGATGTTTCCAGAAATAAAGGAAATAAAGGACTCTTGAGAGCGGGGAGAAGAAGACAGAGAAGCAGTCATCGTCTTTTTGGACTTCCCTCAAATGTAAGTTGATTTCCTTTTATGTCAAAGTAACCCACCTAGTTTATCAAGGGAAGCCAGTAGATGTAATATTTTTGGATTTCAGATACTGTCACTTGTAATGTCCTTCTGGACAAAATGTCTAGCACACAGATGGATAAACACATCATGGGGTGGGTGAGCAATTGGCTCACAGGTCGATCACAGGGGGTAACAGTGAAGGGGGTGACATCTGGCAACTGGTCACTAACGGGGTTCTGCAGAGCTCCATCCTCAGCCCAGTGCTCTTCAACATCTTTGTAAATGACTTGGATGCAGGACTGAAAGGGATGCTAAGCAAGTTTGTAGATGATACAAAACTGGGAGGAGGAGTTGACTGCCTCGAAGGCAGGGAGGCCCTGCAGAGAGACCTCCCCCCACCTGGGATGAGACAAACCTGGATGTTTGTCAATCAATGCCATGGAAAGAGCCCTGGGTGTCCTGGCTGATGGCAAGTTGAATATGAGTCAGCAGTGCCCTGGAAGCCAGGAGGGTTTATGAAAATGTGATGGGAAAAGCAGCTTCCCAGTCTTTTAAAGATAGAAAACTTTTCTCATCAAGATTTTGTTGGGTTTTTTTTTTGTTTTTTTGTTTGGTTGTTTGGTTGGTTTGGTTTGTCTGATTTTTTTTTCCCCCAAATGAAATTAATGTATGAATTTATGGAAAATGTGAGAAGGATCCATTTTATCATCAGTGCTAGGACCCAGCTCCGGAGAGGGGTGTGTATGTGTGTGTGTGAAATTTGAGAGCTCCTTCTGATGATTCTGGAGAGCAAACCTATGACTAGTCCATATGTGCATCCCTATCATTTTATTTCTAAGCATTTCTTTCAAAATTTATTCTTTTAAAACTGATACTTAGACCTAGGTTAGATTCCTTGGGCAGCGGGGCTGCAAGAAAGCTTTTCCTTCTGCCACAGGTGTCAGCACTCCTCCTGCCCCACCCTCTCACCCACTCCCCCTGCAGCATCATGGAACCTCCGGAACCCATGTGCCAGGACATTGCCCAACTGCCCAACAGCCCAAAACTGCCCAACGGCCCAGAGCTGCCCAACTGCCCAACGGCCACTGAGCCTGGCATCCTGCACTGCCACTGCTCCTACAGCACTTGGTTGGCTGATTTTGTTTTCCAGTTTATTTCAGTGTTGACAAAGTCCCTGTCTTCAGTAGAAAGGTCTCGGCATGGACTGTAGGAAGGTATCGTAATCTTTTAAACAAAGAGGAGAGCTTTCCTCTGCAGGTTGGATGTTCACAATATCTGTAAGAGGTGATTTTTGGTAAGATTACAATTTTACAATTGCTCGAATGAGAAGAATTCCTAATCTGTTTTTCACCTAGAATAAAACTGACAGAGAGAAGGAGGAGGAGCTTTCAGTGCTAAATACTCCTGCAACTCCTGAGTCACCTTTGTCTGTAACGGTAGTGGAGTCCAGTAGACAGTCCAGTGTCACCATCTCTGGGAGTCTTCCACCAAATCAAGAAGAGATACAAAGCATCAGAAGTGAAATGGATGGCACAGTAAAGGCACACAGTGTTGTATCAGGGCTGCAAGATTTCCAGTCTGAGGGAAATAGTTGTCCAACAGGTTTTGATGTCAGAGTCAGTTCCAGTAGTAGTAAGCAAGGAGAGCCAGAGCACGCTGAAAACAGCAAATTAAAGGGTAAACAGAGCTGTCTTCAAACTAACCAGCTCTTATTTTAGCACTGCTGATGTATCTTCATTCTGTCATGATTACATTGCCGGAAAATGAGTTTTTGGAGGAACTGGTAGCCTGTTGTCTACTTGTCGAATGTGTGGTAATGCCATAGTCATCTAGTGAATAAAATACCGGCAGGAAGTTTCTTGGCCTTCTGTGGTTTCAATGAGGAATAGAGCTGTATAAGAATGATGTTTATACTGGACAAGAACAGCCCAGAGCAAGCTGTAATACCCTGTAGCAAGACAGAAACATTTTGAGTACTCTGCTTACAAGTAGATGATGCTGTTTCTTGTACAAAAGTTGATTCTCTGTAAGCTATTTATGCAGAAGGGGGAAAATGCTGGTTATTGCATTCTTGGGCAATCATTTCAAACTTGCACCTTCTAAAGTTAATGTTCTAAAAAAATACATAAATGCATATAAAAATCCATGGAATTAAAAAAACCCAACCTGATATCAAGCCTTGACCCTAGCTGGGTTTGACATTCAGATGTGATTTTTCAGACTGATCCCGAGACTACTAGAGAACAGGGGATAATAAATACACCCAACAGTTGTGCACATGATGTCAGTGTACAGCTGCCTGCTTTTTAACTCTCAACAAGGTTGAATCCAAAAGGTTTTTTTTGTGTGAAAGTGACTGGTCTTTTGCAGTGCCTTCAAAAGTGCAGCTACTTTCACTGTGTTGTAGTGCCTAAAAAAATTATTAATAGCAAGGAAAAAAATACATGTCTGACTATAATCCCGAGATGACAGAAGTGGTTTCTTCATTGCAACACATTTCAGTTAACAATTAACTGAATTTTCTCAAAATGCTCTTAAGGTGTGTTATCTTCGTCATTCTGTTGGAACTGTTCTTTTGAAAGAATGCAACAAAATGCATTTCCTTAAACAAAGGCAAGGGTTTGGAAGAGGTCAATAGGTAGCCCTCAATAAATATATCTCTATTGCTTTGTTAATTATAGATGTATAGACTTTGAGGAAAACATACAGAACTGCAAGTATTTTTTAAATTATTATTTCTCTTTCTTTCTACTTTTTGTGAGGTTTTTGTGTTTGATTTTTTTGCCCACCATTATAGTGTTTAGAGACAAAAAAGTCCTTCAAGATGGTCAGGGAAGAGACAGCTCCTCAAAAAAGCAGAAAACAAGCCTCAAAACACCTGTGAACAGCCAAAAGAAGAGTAAAAGTAGTAAGTAAAGTAGCTCAGTCTGAAGTGAAATGTGTGAAAGTACCGTGCCATTTGTTTGAAATGAATAGTAAAAGAGGTGGACCAGAGGACACAGTAATCACCCATTCAAAGCCTTTTTAAAAAGGTATAGCCCCATAAGCAAGAAGAGGTGGATAATTTTGGCACCTACATGGACACATTTGCACTGTCTTTGTTTTTTCTGATGCAGGCAATTCATTTATGGCAGTAGTTCTAAGGCAGTAAGTGTGTTGCTGCCATGATCTGTCTGGAAAGTAGAGTGCACTGTGCCTATATGAACCTTGAGCAGTTGGATTGTATTCAAGAGTCTCCTTACAGAAGTGTGTCCCTACCTCACGTCCTTATGTTCTTGCCCACATGCTTTCAGCAATATACAGTTTTCAGGATGGATTGTAGAGCCACAGTGAGGTACTTCTTATCCACCCTCTAGCTCTGTAGGATTTTGGTTGCCACAGATCCACAGAACAGCTCTGGGTCTACCTGCACAGCAACTAACTGGGCAGTACTTCCAATGAAGTTTCCCTTTCCCAGCATTCTAGAATTAGAGGGACCCCATCACAGACCTGGTTTGTGGTGTAGTACTTGGGCACCAGTGGTGCAGAGAGCTGTGTGCCAAGCTGCTAGACCAGGATGGATTCTGTCACTTTAGAGTGAGACCGCGCCTGGTAAGCTTTGGGTTGAGCGGGAAGGTTGCTTTGTTTTTGTTAACAGTCTCTTCCCACAGGCAAGTGTGGACAAAATAGAGAGAGGGAGTCTCATCTTAAGGAACAGGATAATTGTTTACCCAAAGTTTGTAAATGGAGTTTTCAAGTGTATTTTTTCAAAACATGGCTAGTGTGGCCTTGTGACGCAACACAACAAGGTTTTTTGAATTTTCTTGTTTGGATTTTTTTTTTTCCTGCTAAAATTATTCCATCCTCAGTTGCTGTAGTTTTGTGATAAATCCTAGGTGTTTTTCTTGCTACTTTACTCCTCATTCTCTAGTTCTGGTTCAGACTCTTAGATGATCGATTTGTAATTTTTTCCTTTCTATTTTGCCTTAGTGAACCTGGACATGTTTCCTACTCCTCGTAAGAAGAAGTTTCAGTGTGTTTGTGTCAGTCAGCTATGGGTACAGAAGCTTGTGATAAAAAACAGCAGCTGCTGTTGCCGTGTTTGTCAGCTTTGCTGCCTGCTACCTGAAAGCAGATCATTAGGATTTTGAGTACTTCCCACTTCACCAAAATTCAGGTTTGGGAAATGCTGCAATGCAATAATTAACAGAGACTGTTTAACTTTCAGATGACTTGGAAAATTTGACCAGTGATGAGCGCATAGCAGTTCTCCAAGCAAAAATGCAGGAAATCCGGAAACGTTACCTGTTGTTGAAAGCTGAGGTGGCTGCCATTGACCGGAGAAAGCGCTTAAAGAAGAAACAGCAGGAAAGTAAGTACTGGGAACTAAAATCTACTTTTAGAGGGCTAAATTGCATGTCATGTTATTAAAGTGTTAACAAGTGTTGGATAATCTTTTGGGAGATGAGTGCTGTTAGGAGTGTATTTATGTTGGGTTTTTTTTCTGAAAAACATGAATACAGTTATTTTATGACATTTAGAAGGTCTGGGTCAGATACTTAGTGACAATGTAAGGAGAAAACCATTTACAAGCAGTCAATCTAGTTAATTCTGTTAAGGCAGAGCTACTTTATATGGGAAACAATATACACAAAATAAACTTTTCTAAGCAGTGAACAAAGTAACTAACATTATTAATAACTTCTAAAGTTTCTTCAAGTTACAGATAACTTTACTGTAGCATTGCCTGTGCACCTAGTTAGTGCTTTCCTTCTAGGATAAGGGATTTATTTCATGAGTTTAAGTGAGACAATCAATTAAATGTCTCATTTCTCTGAAGCTGCCACACCTATTGCTGCAGGGAATGTTCTAGTGTGCCTACTGCTAGGAGTGTTAAAAGGATAATTTTATCCATGTCTTGTTCACATGTGTATTTAAGGGTTCACTGAGAATAAGAAGAAAGACCGAAATGCCATGTGTAGTAATATTTTATGGCTGCAACCATCACACAGGAACTGAAGTTGCTGCTTGCTTGCCAGAGCACTGTGCATGTGTAGATTCAGTGCTGGGACAAGGCCCCACCTGTGCCAACTCCCTGAGGAAGGAAAAAGAACAGCTGACATGCTGATGGGCCAGGAATAAGCTCTGTTGTCCTCTGGCTGAGCCCTTGCGTGGCTGATGAACCAGGTCTACAAGGGCCATCAACATCAAAATTAGGGAAAGAAAGACTTTTTACTTTTCCATCACTAGGCATAAGATGCTGGAGTCAGCATATATGTCCTGGTTCCAGCCAGGACAGGGTTAATTTTTGCAGTAGCCAGGAGGGGGCATGGCCAGGTTATTCTATATCACCTCATGTCATTGCCGGGGGAGGCAAAGGGATTCTTTTCCAGGGAAAAGGGGTTCAGTCCAGTCGAGCAAATGTGGCATAGGGAGCTGTGTAGTATTGCCTATTATTGGGGGTTTTTTCCATGTGAGTTGTTTATTTTCTTATATCCTCTGTCACTAGTATTGTTGCTATTACCATTTGTATTCTTATCTTGTTGCTGTTTCCAGTAAATTGTTCTTATCTCAACCCGTGATCTTTGCCTTTTGCGCCTTCAACTCTTCCCTCCAATCTGCTGCAGCAGAGAGGAGGGGAAGAAAGAGAGTGCATTCCATGGTTTGGGAGAACCTTGATGGGGTCACTGAATTGGGGAGTACCTTTCCTAAACCGCAACAAGATACCGATGCTTGTTGAATAGGGAAACATTCTAATTGCTTATTTATAAATGCTTATAACCTGTGTTTTCTTCTTCCTTTGCAGGGGCTGCTGCCATGTCAAGTTCCTCACCGGATGGAATGTCAGGGGAATGCAGGTGAGAGCAGGACTTGACAAAGCACTTCACACTTAATGGCTGCTGAGGGCCACTCTTGTTAATCAGTCCTGAAAACCAAATATTCATTAAAAAAATCAAGCAAGCAAACAAACAAACAAAAAAATACTAATGTTCACAGGTTTGAATTAGATTAATAAAGAATACTCTGGGTTTTAAGAATCCATTAATTGAAATGAAACTACAATACTTTGTCATTTTTCAATAAAACAGGGGTCTTTTTAATTTTAATAAAATACATGACTAAAAAAAGAAAGAAAATAGCTAACAAACTAATAAGAATTAATGTCTGAAGATTGCACTCAGCCTGTTTAGTGTGTATTACTTCATAATGGATTAAACAGGTATATTTTTGTGTTTTCTTGTAACTGTTTCTCTTCCTGTTAAAGCAAAAAATACTTCATTTGTAATGCTTATTTTATGATGAGCTTCAAGGAGAAGTCTTCAAGAGAGAGGTGTGAGCTCATAAAAGCTTATAGAAGAAAGCTCTAAAATATACATTAGGTTCTGCAGAAAATGGAGTTATGCAACATATTGTACAAATGGAAGCCAAGGCCTCTGAAATAAAATGCCATAGTTTGGGAATCCCTGATGTTGTTTTTAAGTTTGATTAAGCAACAGTAGTATCCTCATGAAATGACATCACGCAGAATTGGCTAAGTGATTAATTCAAATCCATTCTCTCTTTCAGCACGAAGTGTAGCCCATCATGAATATAGCACCAGTCAAAACAAAGCTGAATTTTGATTCTTTTTCATTATGGTAGTTTGAAAATTTCAAAGCAAGCACCTGAAGTTATTCACTGACTCCTTACATTAACTGCCTCAAGTTCAGATTCAGTGTAACTGAAACTGGAATAAAACTTTGTGTTCTCTGCCTACATTGTGTCTGACTGTAGTTTTTGACCAAAATACTGTTATACCTGAAAAATGACGGATTACTGATGAGATTGGTAAATAACAAATGATGATAAGCTTTGGAAGTGCTGACTGTGTTAAGAATTACCAGTGACCCAGGGCTGGTGAGAGCTGTTTTAATAATTTCAGTAAGGTTACAGGAAAAACAGAGGATATGAACACCCAGACTGAACAGCAAGTAAACTGAAATACAGGCAGAAAGGAACTTTCTAAGACAAACAGCCAGGTAGCAGAACTAAAGACCACTGAAGTCAGTGCCATCCTAAAGAAAAACAGAAAACAAAACCAACAAAAACCAGGAAAGAATCAGCACCATGTCACAACCATGACATTATTTTAACTGGATGACTACCCTGCTCTAAACTTAAAGCACCATTAACTTTTCCATCTTTTTAAAGCCTAAGGTTATAATTTTAAATTAGCTACTTGTAGCTGTACCCTCAGTAGCATTCTGGAGAATACCAGTGTCCACAGCTTCTACAGGACAGTGAATAACCACAATGAATAAGCACTTGATTTCTAAGGGAGGAAGAACAAAAAGCATCAGCACTCACTTACTGAATTGATAAGCTTATTACCGCACTTCCAAAGCAACAGGCTACAGAAATAATGAATGCCAAGCAAACCAGTTGAGATCTGCACACACTGGAACATACATAGAATCTTATTCAACAAAATCCCAACACCATATTGCTGCACTGGCTAGAAATCTTTCTGGTGTGCTAATGAGAAGACTCAACTTCTTTCTAGGAAAGAAACTGCTTGAGGCAAATACTCTAGCAGATGATGTTTCAACCAAATATAAGTTTAAAAAAACACGTTTTTTTAATATATGTATTTAAAAAACACTGGAAAAGGATATGGCAATAGAAAAGAAAAAAACATTCAGGGAGTAAATGGTACAGATTGTCATCACACAATCTAAACATTGCAATTGCAAATCATTTACTCAGAACATACAGAGCATCACTGAGTGGTGAAAGCAGAGTCACCACTGACATCAATGAGAAGATTTAGCACCAGCCTTTGGCTTTTTTTACATCACGAACATGCACTAGGTCTGGTCTGTCTGTTCTTCCTTGCCAACTGCCATTACAGTGCCTTTCCTATAGGAAAGTATATCCACCAAACAAAAGAAGTCCAAGAGAGCTGAACCCCAAGGCCAGCTGGTGAGCATCAAATGGATGCACCCAGTTTGAAGGGCTTTTAGAACTCTACAGCACCTGCCCCATGGTTTCCAGTGATACAGCCCAAAGTAGCCTTTAAACAAAACATCTAGCTCAGGGTCTGCCTATGTGCCAAAGACCAGCAACTCCTGGCTCAAGACTTGTGTATTATATAGACTTGGGCCAGAAACAAAGGTGACAGATGTGAAAAAACTGAAGACTGATGGCAACTGAGATCTAACAGTAATTTTTCTATTCCATCAACTAGTTACAAAATTATCCAACTTGTGCACTTACATAACAGAACGCAGTAACTAATAAAAAGAAAGCCTTTTATTCAAAACAGGTTTGTGTGTCTTTACAAGAAAGTCATGATTTCAACTTACAAAGTCAACATTGCCATCAGCACCTTTTCCGACAACATCCTTGTCTTTTGTAAAATGTCAAGTGTATAAACACAGCAAACAGACAATCCACACCTCTATCCCCAAAATCTCTATTTAGATTTTACACACATATATATAAAATAGGTATGAATAACATGTCTTCATAGATGACAACTGCATCACTTTATACTTCAGGTCCTTCTCCTCCAGGAACCAGCTATAAAAGAATAAGACATTTTTGTATTAGTGCCATAGAGTTGAGTTTTATAAACCCATACATAACAGCTCTTGCTTTATAACAAGCATTTTAGTATACAAAGACTTCATGGTAGACCACAAAAGTGGTTTTTAGACTCAGTATTATCTTCCTCTCACAACAGAGGAAGTCAGTTACGGCAAGAGACACAAAGGTAGCAGGGGGTAAGTTAGCAAAGCATTTTCTTGTGAAGGAAGCAAAGAACTGAACAACAGAAAAAGAAATACAAAAGAAAAACATGGGGAAAAAATATAACAATTCCTTATCTTGTCATAATCAGTTGAGCATTGCTAAAGAGAAAGAGCTTCCCTGTTTTTGGGACCAAAATAAGAAGAATTCTAAAGCACAGACTTCCTGATATGGGAAGATGTGTCCCCAAAATAGACCCAAGATCTAATGCAGAAACGTATCTATGTCTTGCTGAAAATGTGCACTCTAAGAATCACCAGCTTCTGCTTCACGGGCAGCACACCACCAGCTTAACTGGATGGCAGGAATTTCACCCCATACAAGGAGTCTGAACATGTGCTGTCCTGTATGGATGCAGAACAGAAACCAACGCAGAAAAAGGCTTAGGATTTAAGTCAAGAATGGTATTTGCTCAGACACAAAGTGCAGAGGTGCAAGGAAAGTAAAACAATAAAACTGAGATAATTTCTCACTCATACAGAACCAATTTAAGACTCAAGTTAACCTTCCTCTTCCTACAAAATTAGGAATACAGTTGTGTCCAAAGTCTGCGCCTTGTGGCCATCTATGCAGACAAGCAAAAGAGCCACTCCGGGTCTGCTTGTGTTGCATCCAAGAAGTTGCAGAATTCAACTCAGGGATGCATAATCACAACATTTAATCTCTGTTTCAGTACTGATCTACACACATCAGCACATGATAAACTAAAAATCCTAGTGCTTTTGATTTGGTATAATCCAACAGACCTCCATATTTTTTGGCAAAGCACGTAAAGCTGTAGCTCTAGGGACACCACATGGTATCATGATCACCAAATAACTCAGTGAGCATCTCAGCATCCAAACTGCTGCAAACACATGTGTACACACAGGAACATGGGTATGTCTGACCCACATGCACAGGCAAACGCTTCGGAGCTAAAAGCCCCTGGAAGAGCTGGCCTATGACTACTTGTAAGGAGGCTGTAGCCAGCTGGGAGTCGGCCTCTTCTCCCAGGAAACTACTGACAGGACAAGAGGAAATGGCCTCAAGCTGCAACAGGGGAGGCTCAGGAAGGATATCAGGAAGAATTTCTTCATTGGAAGGGTTGTCAGGCATTGGAATTTCCTGGTCAGGGAAGTGGTGGAGACACTATCCCTGTTCAAGAAAAAACTGGACGTGACACTTTAGTTGGCACGGTGGTGTTCGGTCAAAGGTTGGACTCGACAGTCTTGGAGATCTTTTCCAACCTTAACAATTCTATGGTTCTGACAAAATCAGCAACTCCCTTCACACGTGAAGACCAGAAAAACATTCACAAAAACAAAATTAGGGCCATGGTCTTTGCGTTATTCTTTTGTAAATCATAGCATGTAACAAGTAAAGCAGTAGGGTCAGTTTTCCAACATAATTCATACACAAAGATGTCCCAGAAGGTACTTGAAAATTCTTGATGAAGTGGAACTGTCTGGAAAGCTCATCTTAGAGTAGTGAAACTCAATTGCTGATTTACAGGTACAGAAAATCAACACATGCAGCCTTTGAGCAATGATAACTTACCATTGTTATGTTATTTCCATTTAGCAGAATCTGGTCTAGCTTTGTGATTCTTCTGCCCTCAGGCGTAATCTCACTGAAGGAGGATTAGAAACAGCAAGTGAGAACACAGAACCAGGGACAACAGCTCCAGTTTTGATCACAGAACTGACAGAAATCTCCGTGTTAGTTCCTTATTGGAACTAACAAATAAATCAGCCACACTGCAGTGTGATCTTGACAAATGGACCACCTGGGTAAAGAAAACTACCTGACATTTAAAAAAGATCTGGTCTACTCAGTACATGAAGATGTGTGTTCACTCTCTAAAGCCTGGCAGTTTCTTGAATGCCACATATCAACATGGCATAAAAAAGTAATAAACACTTATCCTTTACTTTCCTATCTTTTTAAATCTCTGCGTAGGCCTTAAGGAAATGTAAAAGCAAACAAATAATTGGAAAGTTCAACACAATCAAAATTAAGACCACAAATCAGGAACCCCGTTACAGTTATAAATCATGCAATAGCTACCCTATGACACGGCTGTCCTGAACAGAACACCCAACTCTACAGTTGCAGTGCACGGAAAAACTGGTTAGCTGGCAAGTATTCCAAGAATATAACATTTTGCTTACGGATCTTACACTGTATTTTGCCTCAGCAAACCAAACATAAAAGAGCAAAAAGAGGAAGAAACAATACTTACAATTCTGTAACATCTTCCAACACCATATCTGAAAATCCAGTTTCAAGGAAAACAAGGCCCAAAATTTTAAATCAAAAACATTTACTGCTATTCTCAGTTTATACTAGACTGTGATTTTACCTGGAAGTTGAAAATATCAGAACAATAGAGCTGATCCATACAAAAAGGTTCTACCCAATTAACTCAAAATTCTCACAAGCAATAAACAAACTGAGCCAAAGGAGTGAAGCGGGCAGCCTTGAACTCCCATCGAAGGATACTGACGAAGTCATCGAATCCCAGAAGCGTCCCGACGATTTCTTTGTCACTCTTCATCACGATGTGAATACGTGACCCTATGCACTTGTCCACAAGCTCTGTAAGCACACGGGAACACGTACATCGCACAAAGCACCCTCTTGCGCCTTACAACTTGTTTGTGCTTATTTACAGACACAGCCCGTCCCCCACACCAGCCTCCTGTGCCCCCACACACACCTTTACACCCAGGCCCATCACCCCCCCACCCTCAGCCCCATACTCACAGACGCCCCACACATCCCTGCACACCCCTCATCGTCCCCACACCCCCCAACACCCCCCGGAACACCCATCGTCCCCACACCGCTCTGCTCCGCCCGCCCTCCCACACCCCTCCAAAATGCCCCTGGGGAGCGCGCGGGACCCGACGCAGGGTGCGCTCCCGCCCTCCCGCTTCCCGCTGCGGACACGCAGAGGGCCCCAGCCCGCCGTGCCCGCCCGCAGAGGGCCCCAGCCGGCCGTGCCCGCCCGCAGAGAGCCCCAGCCGGCCGTGCCCGCCCGCAGAGGGCCCCAGCCGGCCGTGCCCGCCCGCAGAGGGCCCCAGCCGGCCGTGCCCTCCCGCAGAGGGCCCCGCCGTGCCCGCCGGTACCGAGCGGCAGGAGCTGGGACGGGTTGGACACCGCGCCCGCCGCCATCTCGGAGCCAGGCCTGACCAATCGCTGCCGCCGCTCGCACACGTGACGGGCCGCGCGCCCGCGCCAGCTCGGCAGCCCCGGCGAGCGGATGGCAGAGCGGTCGCTCCGCGCCCCCCCCCGCCCGCTGCGGGCCGGTCGCGACAGCTCCGTGTCCCGACAGTCGCTCTGTGCTGTGCATCCCTGTAGAGACTTGGAGGAAAGCCGCCTTTCCTCCCCTTTTTTCTCCTCCTGCCGGCCCCGCCGGTGGCGGGCTGTCCCCAGGGAGCCATCGGGACCTCTGGCCGTGCAGAATGCGGTCTGTGCGCTGTGCCACAGCTGTCACAGGATCACGGCATCAGCTAGCTTGGAAGAGACCTCTGGGATCATCGAGCCCAACCTGTGAACCAACGTCACCATGTCAACCACCAAGTGCCACATTCTGTCTTTCCCCAAACACTTCCAGGGACTGTGACTCCACCACCACCTATGTCTCATCACCCTTTCTGTGAAGAAATCCTACTAATGTCCAACCTAAATCTTCCCTGGTGCAGCTTGAGGCTGTCTCCTCTCAGACAGAACTGCAGAATCATTCCGGGTTTGTAACACTGACTGTATGTGTGGGAGGCAGAGCATCTCACAGGTTACATTTCCTGGTTACCGCCCTCTGTTCTTCACATTCCCCTCGTGCAGCAGCCGACTGTCCTTCCAGGTTCGACCTTTGATACACGCTTCTTTGACACATGTTCCTTCCGAGTTCCCTCGGGCAATTTTTCATTGAATTCCCAACACAGGAGTGCCAATATGCATTAGAAAGAGTTGCTTCTGGTGTGACTTCCAGCTGCTCTTTGCAGATTGCACTGTGCACCTGTGCTGGGAGTAGCAGTGACCAAAGGTCACTGCATCCCAGAAGAGGGAGTACCTCTTGGTCATAGGGAGCAAGCTGGGCGCGCCTCAAGCCTCCCAAACCCAGCACATAGGCTCCTTTCTCCGCTCTGTCTTCTCTGTTCTCTCCTTTCCTTCTTTCCCTTTCTTCCTCCCTCAATCTTCCTTCTTCTTTCCTCCCTCTCTTCTGCCTCTCTTACCCCTTTTTTGGTCTCTGTTGAGATAATTCTTTGACATCCAGTGGTATTTTGTTCTTCGAAAAAGACAGTGCTGTGTTAAAAAAGCTTGTCTGGTATCAATACGTTAACATTCCCAAACCTGTCTTCCTCATGTTTGATTTCTTCCAGAAAGAAAATGCTACTTCTCAGTTCTTCATATTCTGCGCATCAAATAGATCAATATACTTTCTTTTTGGCAATTTATAAAGAATATTCATTTACAGCAAGCAGATCTGAACAAATCTGCTGTCCTTGGTGCCAGGAAAATCCCTGGTCTGTCCCTTGGTGCCAGGAAAATTTCAGAAAGAATGTCCAAGACACAAATAGGAACCAACTGTATTCCTAACAAAAAGGTTATTGCTAAACTAGGAATACTCCCATTAAGTGGAGACCTTTCAGATATGCAGCTGCTAACTAATCATGCCCTGTCACAGGTCTGGTAGGAGGCATCCTTCTCATGGGAACACCAACAAAATATATTCAGCTACGAAATATACACCTGAACAATATGGGGTACTGAAGGGATGGCATCCTGCTGTATTGCCATTCATGTGCTGCATTCCAAGCTGGGCAGTATCTTACAGTGAGAGATCAGACCACAGGAGTTTTTAGGAAGTTCTGTTCAGTGGTCTCTACTGATAACTGAACACACAATTATCAGCACTGGAATTAAGGAATGTGGCGTTCCTGTCGATCGGTTTCTGCACTCTGGTAAAACCACAGCGCAGATGACTCATCAGCAGAGGACTCTCTATCCTGAACACAGGAGGCTGGCAACAAAGCTGCAGCATACTCCATGTCACTCCCTTAGTTAGTCAGTTCATCAGCAAAATAGCCTGTAGCAATAAGAAATATAAAACATGGACACAAGGCAGTCCACTTGCTTAAAATCAAGTGTTGCACATGAGTGATGCTGCCCAGGCCACTTGCACGTGTCCTGATTCTTGTAAGCAAGTGAGAGAGAACGTACGAGTCAAATCCATCTGCTGAGAAGTGTTGCAAAGTTAAAACCACTTTATGCTTACATAAGATCTTGCTCTGTGGTGTAGCATAGGCTTTTTAACACAAATGATGAACCTCTTGAGTGCTGCTTCTGTCAAGTAACCAGAGTGTTTCCTGAGCTGAGCTGACTCACCACTTCCCCTCGCCTCACAACACTTAATCAAAATCAGTAGTGCCCTCAGTATGCACACAGCATAACCTTGCTTTTCTGGAACTTGATTCTGGAAGTCAAGGGGAGGAATGTGAGAGAAAGACTTTGAAACCATCTTATTTAGGGCCCATGTTAAACTCTAGGTTTCATCTCATCCCTGGAGAATGGCTCCTCCACTGAGCTATTCAGAAAAGGGACTTTAATCTGTTGGTTTGCTTTTTAATAACAAGAAATCAGGTGACATTGGAAGATTTCAATCACTTCAAAAAGTATCGCCGTGGTCTCACTGTCAAGCAGGATTAGCACTCATTCAGCTGCAAATGCAGAGTACCTACTTCAGTGGCTGAAGGAAATAATTCAATTAAGGTAATGACGATTGCTAAGACTTAGTTTAAAATAATCATTGACATTAGATGATGCTTCCCTTACTGAGGATTTAGTATGAGCATTCCTATGGTGAGCCCAATTAGGAAGAAATGAAAGGGCACAAACTGTTTACACATCAAGAGTAAGAATTAGGAGACACACTTTGATAACACTTGAGAGTCAATCCAGACAAATGCATCTGAAGTCAGTAGCAATTACTCCAGAGTAGTACACTCCAGACAGTGTAAATCTGAGTTTTTGTTAATATACAGGAAGATGGCTTTCCCTTAGAGATGGAGAGTATCAGCTGTGGAAACTTGTGAAACTGAATCCATCTCAATCATGAACTTCACTCACAGATGGAGCACAGAAACTCTCCTAGAGGAAGCTGGTGCAGTGTGCCAGCTCTCTGCACACAAATGTGTTACAACCTTTTGAACTGCAGGGTCAGGCTTTAAAAATTGCTTTCAGTAACTGCTGCTGTTGCAGAAGTCATACAAAACCCAGGTTGTAGTGTCCCTGCTGCACCTGTGCCCTTGCGCAGCCTGATGGGCCAGGAAATTTGCAGCTGTCCAGAGTACATTTCTACTTCCTCCCTGATAAAAGCTTTCATCGTCATCATCACATGTGCCAGCTGATCCACTGACTCATCTTTTCGCTTTGTCTACTTTTCTTTTTTATAGGATTATTAGTTTTCAGTAGGAAAAGCACTTCAAAGTACAACTTAAGCTATTTTAAAATCCTGTGTGCTGTGCACCCAAAAAAAGCCCCAGACAACTACTTGACCATAACAATAACACATCACTGAAAGATAACTTACCCATATTTCTAAACAAAAGCTTTTTTTAATCCAAGTACTGTATAAATAGTCTTGAAATTTTTTGGTTGTACAGCAACAGACATAGGAGAAACATAAACAGCAAGAAATGAGTCATTTTGGAAGGTGCCCACACAAAGCAATGATGCCTACTGTATGTGTTTTTTAAAACTTAACTAAGCAACACAATATAAAGTACCTCCAATCAGATATTTAGTTACTACATATTTGAAATTTATATCCCATCATTGGGTAACACTAATTGCAAGCACCTTTCTGGCTGACCCCATAACTTTGTACCCACAGAACTATGAAAAGATGCAGCAGGTCCCAAAATAACTCCTGCCATCTGTAGGCAAATACTGTGAATTCTACTCCAGCAGGAACATATTTATGAATATTGCTGCCGTCATTACTAATGTGGTGAGCAAAGAGCCAGGAACCACACTACTTTGCTAAGCACAGCTGATGATGAATAACAGTGAACCTGTACATTTTGTGATGTTCAGCAATAGATGTGATGATCATGTGTCATGTGGCAGATTAACTGTAGTACGTTAAAATACAATTTGACTACTCAAATCCTGATTCAAAGCTTTTTTGACGAATAATGTTGCCCAATCCTATATGCAAACAAAACAATCAGACAACATTCATATATTAATTTTTATTTCCCCATACAATATTCACAGGGTCTGCTTTTTGTCTTATTCAAACTAAACATTTTTTCCCCACCCCCAAACTAAAGAACTGACATTTCAGGACATGAAAAGAAGTCTTGTAAACAGAAAACATTCAACGCATAGCTGAAACCCAGAGCCTATAGCAATTAAAAACACAGTTATATCCCCTTTAACGCAGAGTGTTTACTTGAGTAGCACACCATTAACAAAAATGTTCATGTATTAAAAAGGTGCAGCTTTAACCAAAAGTCACAATGCACTTCCTCAACCACTGCGTGTTAGCATGTGTGTTTTATTATATCCTATTCAGTCAGTTATTTTAAAAACTATATACAGCTATGTTTAAACGTGTATTTGTGCCGAGTTTTTAACAACACAAAAATAAAGGCATTTTTAAGCTATTGCTGCATAACATGCAGCAGGATACCAGAGCATTGGTTCAGACACCTAACTTCAATGCAAAAGTCAAGTCCACTAAACCTCTGCAGTGGGAGTAATATTGAGCTGAAAAGTCCCACTTCACACATTCAAACATTGCGAAAGAGTAAAAAGACATGTATGCGATGGCTGACCATCATCCGTTCTATAAGATTGCTTACCAATTTTGCCAGCACACAGAACAACTCAGTGGAAAAAAAAAACCCAACACATTTCAAGCTTTAATACAAATGCTTTTGTTGTGGTTAAAGCTACATAACTAATAATTAAACTCCAGAAGATAATAATGAACACCATCAAAACTAAATCATATTTTCATTTGACACTTGCACCCAGAGTGTACCACTTGCTTCATTATTGTGTGCAATGCAGAACAAGAAGTACTGAACATCAGCTGCTAAAACACAAGAATAAAGCATATAGGTACAATCAAGAATGTTGTGTGCAGGCACAGACTTGTATCACAAGACAAGAGCAGACTCTTG